AGTGGGCCTTAAGTCAGATCAGACATTGGTTGGCTAATCCCACAAGTTCAGTTCCATCATTGCCCTAGCATATCTTGTAGGAAAGACAGATTGTTGGTCAAAGCTTTGTAGCTGGGTTGGTATTTTTGTTTCTTTTGGTAGCCTGTAGAGTACCTTTCCACACCAAAGTCACCAGAATGTAGTAGAAATGTACATGAGGGCATACTGAAGAGCACAGAACATACTATTATCTAGTAGACTTAAAATATGACCACTATTGTTATCCCTGCTTGATACAGAGGTCTTAAGTCATATTTTGTACAAAAAGATAATCTTTTAACTCAGCCCAATATAAGAAAAAGCATGCTGCAATGAATGTAGAATAAGACATAATTATCATTGACCCTGGGAAAGAAAAATACACAAACTTTCATAAAATTATTTACTTTACACACTTTAAAACTAGTTTGTAGTAGAGAATGTTCTATGTTTGTGTATCTATTTCTAAGCATTGAGAAGAGATTGATCTATAGGAACGTGGGAATGGTGGTTTATCTACTTCCCTGATAAGCCTGTGCAGCTTTCATGGGTTCAGCAAGCAAATGTCATTCAGACTGTAGGGTACTCACAGACTGCTTATAACAAATTCAATGAGCCGGGTGGTGGTGGCGCACGCCTTTAATCCCAGCACTCGGGAGGCAGAAGGCAGGCATATCTCTGAGTTCGAGGCCAGCCTGGACTACAGAGTGAGTTCCAGGAAAGGCGCAAAGCTACACAGAGAAACCCTGTCTTGAAAAACAAAAACAAAACAAAAATAACAAATTCAGTGAAAATACTTACATTTATTGTGTTTCTTAGAAACTAACCTAAAGGAATAAAAATAAAAAGTGGAAATCTCAGAAATAACGTTTCCAAGCCTCAGTTTTAGACTATTAATCAGCTTTCTTTGACCATAGCAATACTTGAAAATAGCACCGCAGAGAAAGAAAGGGTTTATCTGTATTAACTTGTAGTTTATATACCTTAACTTATAGGCTTCAGTCCATGACAGATCAACCTGGTTGCTTGTAGGCATATGGTAAAGCAGCGTGGTAGGAATGTGATGGATGGAGCAAACAGAACCACTCATCTAGTCTCCAGAAAGTAGAAAAGCTAGGAAAGAGACTTTCCCCACTGTTCCCTCTGAGACCAAAGACTTAGGCTGTACCACTTCCTGGTAGTGCCACACTAGAGAATAAGCCTCAAATACATGGACTTTAGAGGGACATTTACGATCCAATCTGTAACAATGCCTTGTCATTAAAATGGTGTATGCCTTAATTAGGAGGCAGATCTCTGTAAATTCAATGCCAGCCAGGAGGACTACATAGTGAGACCCTGTCTCTCTAAAATAATAATAATAGTAGTTAATTAATTAATTAGTATTGTCATGAGCCAAGAAGATGGCTTAGCAGATAGAGGAATTTACTGCCAACCCTGACATCTTGCATTTATTTAATCCTGGAAAGAACATCTAGGAAAGAACTGACTCCTGAGCATTGTCTTCTGACCACCACACATGTATTGTGGCATGCCATGCCCACACACAGAATTGTTTTGTTTTGTTTTGTTTTTAATTAAACTTAACTGTCTCTAAGAATGTTTGAGTATGACTCTATTTTCTCCCATTGCTCATAAATAAACATAACTGTGGCTGGGAAGATAACTCAGTGGGATAAGACCATTTAGTGGGCAGCAAGCATGAAGGCCTGAGTTCAGATCTCTAGCACCTACATAATAAGCCAAGCATGTAGTCACACACAATGAAACTCCAGGGCAGAGACATGAAGATCACTGGGATTTGATGGTCACCAGCCTACTCCCAGGTTCAGTAGGAGACTCACAATCTCAAAGGAATGATAGAGCAGGAAACCCGACATTCTCTAGTGTCCATGTATATAAGCATTTATCTTCACTCCTCTCTCTCTCTCTCTCTCTCTCTCTCTCTCTCTCTCTCTCTCTCTCTCTCTCTCTCTCTCACACACACACACACACAGAGTAAGAGAGTAAATTTTAGAACATGTAATAAATAGACCATGGCATTTGTTTAAGCTGTCATATTTTGGTGGTATCCTCAAATATTTTGAACTAAGAATGAGAAAAAAAACCAACAACAACAGGCATGGTAGTACATACCTGTAATCCCAGCAGGAGGCCAACTTAGGCTATATGAAACTCTGCCTCAAACCAACAAAACCAGGGGGAGAAAAACAGTAGGGCCCAGGTTGCATATGGGTTTCTGTTGCATTAATTTTGTATCTGAAACCTTGTCTAGAGACAAGAGTATGGAATCTCCCTTACAGAGTTGAAGAGTATTGCATGGATCAAGGCTGTGCAATTATTGTGCAGATGGTTAGATGATTATGAATGACCTGCTCAGGCCTCAGCACAGGGTTTGGCTGTGCTCGTTGAGGAAATGGATGCTTTTCACCTTGCTCTATAGTTCTGGTCTGCAAATTTTGTTAATAATGAAAAGAACTGTGAAAGTCAAATCTGGATTTGAAGAGTCTTAGTAAACCAGAGCAAGAACTTAGACAAAGTGAAAAATTGAGAAAGGAAGTAATGATCAGAAGTGGTCACCTTCTTTCCTGTGGACCACTACTACTTAAATCATCTTATTTCCCATGGAGCACTGCTACTTAAATCACCTTCTTTCATGTGGAACACAACTACTTAAATTACCTTATTTCCCATGGAGCACTGCTACTTAAAGTCTGTCCAGCCTTTGGATTGAATAGGTTTTTATAACTCATATTGATCTTAGTTTGTTCCTATTGTAGTACTTCCTTTGAAGACTGTTAGATTTTAGGGAGGGTATGTGTTATTATGAATGATAGAAGAAGAATGCTAAATAGGATTGAGGATGTAGCTCAGTTGGAAGAGGCTTGCCTTACACCACATATACCAAGCATGGCACATGCTTATCATCCCAGCATTTGGGAGGGGGATTAGCATCTTCCCAGAATGCAGCAGGTGATATCGAATTTTACTTCAGATTTGTTACTATTTAATTTAAAATCGTCCTTTGTGTAACCTCAGCTATACAGCAGGTTTGAGGCCAGCCTATCTACATCAAACCCTGTCTTAATTCAGCAACGATAATATGACTCTAATTTCTTACATCTAACTGTTGATGAGACTGGCTGTAAAGCAAAGTTGTTTTTATTTTCAATCTGTTATTAGTTGAAAAATATCCTCCCAAGAAAATGTGTGGTCCTTAGCTTACTGTCACTTAGAATGAGTCTTATCAGAACATCAAAATTAAAAGAAGTGTTTTCTTAGATCTGTAGTAAAAAGTACCTTTGTATAAATAAAATTCAGGCCCAGTGAGATAACTTAGCAAGTAAAAGGCTACTGTTGCCAAGCCTGGTGATCTGAGTTCCAGGTGTGCATCATGGAGCAAGTAATAATTACAAGTAATAAAAAAAGTAAATAATTCAAGAAAAATACATTGTCGCTCAACCTGCTTGTGAGCTGTTGTCCTATCATTGTTCTTCCCGGTTCTTACCAAGGTGGGTCTGTGTAGGGAGGAGGTGCTGACCGAGATAGGAGGGCAGACACAGGTGGCTGATCAGAGGAGGCAGGCGGAATCCGTAGTGAAAACCATTAAATCACTGAGATAGGTAAGGATAAGGGGTTGAGTAATAACTGTTTTGAAAATTCTGTTTGGGGAACTTTCCATGGAAATGCCTGTTACTTGGGACTTTTAAAAAATGTTTCTCTAAGCCTCATGTAGTGGTGCATATTCGGAATCCTAGCACTTGGGAACCTAAGCCAGGAAGAACATGTATTGATCTTAAAAAATAGAAGGGAGGTGAGCTGAGGATGGTAAAGCTCTGTAGAAAGCAGAAGACTATTTGCCTTGCCAGAGACTGGGTTCTATGCCTGGTGTTCCTTGCAGTACTTAGAGCCTTATTTTTCCTAAGTAAGATTTCATAAATGGAACAGTGCAGGATCTGCAGGTCATAGATGTGATGAATAAGCATATAATCATGTGAACAGGCAGCTTCTCTAGAGTACTGTGTAACATTATAGACTTATTTCACATTTGTTAATAAAGCATTGTGCTTTCTCTAAACAGAAAATGCCCATTACTATGACATATGGCAAATAAAGCCATCATTGGAATAACATGATAGAAAATGTTATATATAGCAGTAATAACTAGCTAAATCTTACTTGTGATTGAATTGAAAAAACTTTATAATTGAGAGCTGATTTTCTAAAGTTTACAAATTTAAAGAAAAAGATTAGAAGTGTGAAGAGATAATGTTTTTGACTAATGAAATGAAATAATTCTTTTTTTCCCCCTCACATTGTAAAGCTATAATTGGCATGTAAATTCTGACTAAATCTTGGCAAAAAAAAAAAAAAAAAAATGGGGCTGGAGAGTTGGCTCAGTGGTTAAGAGCACCGACTGCTCTTCCAGGCTCTTCCAGAGGTCCTGAGTTCAATTCCCAGCAACCACATGGTGGCTCAGAACCATCTGTAATGAGATCTGGCGCCCTCTTCTGGCCTGTAGGGACACATGCAGGCAGAATACTGTATGCATAATAAATTAATAAATCTTTAAAAAAAAAAATTTACTAAATCTAGGTCTTAATACTGGGAAAGAGTGATCCTGGAAGTATTGGGGTATTTATTAGCAGCTTGGAGGAAAATCAGTTGGAACATTTCACACTGTAACATACTCCATATAGTAAAGTAGTGTCATCTCACTTTTTTAAGTTAAGGAAACTGAAATACGTATTTGGCTATTTGTAGGAACTTAAAGCGGAGATGACTTTTTAAGCCTTCAGATGACATCAAAATAGACAAATCTCACTGTAAGAATATTAAAACTTAAATTTAACAATAAAGCTTCAGACCAGAGAAAAATGTTGTTACATACAATAATCATCAAATTTTTGTAAACTAATTGTAGACATATAAAGACAAAACAAACTACAAATAATGACCATAGAAATGCAAACAATAGACAAGACAGCTGTACTTACTTTTAATATATCTTCTGTTTATCCACAAAACACAGAGTGTGTTGCTGCTGGCCAGTGTGACTACTGCCCACATTCCAATTCTGTGTCATAGCATGTCAGCATTATTCTTTTTACAGAGTTGATAGTACACAGTTGATAGTCATAAAATTGTCCAGTCCTTCACATTGGGTTATCCTAAATCAGTCAGAATCCATCAAAAGTTAAATGCAGTAACACTGGCTGGCTGGATGTGGTGGTGCACACCTGTGATTTCAGGTACTCTGATGTTTGAAGAAAGAAGATTGGAAGTTCATGAGCATCAGCCTGGGCAACTTAACAAGATCCTGTCGACCTAAAAACAAAAGGGATTAGGGATGGAACTCACTGATAGAACACTGTTCTAACGTAGGCAGGGGCCTGGGCAACTTGGTGAGACCTTGTTTCAAAATACAAATTAAAGAGAGGCCTCAGTGATGGAGTACTTGCTTAGCTTAAATGAAGCCCTTAAATTCAGTCCCAGTAGCACATATTTATAGAAAACAGGGCAACCAAATGACAATACAAAGAACCTCTCAAGGAATACAGAGCGAAACATTGACTTTTTTGTTTATTTTTTGAACATTTGTTTTTATTATTTTATGTGTTAATTTGTGGGGACATTTTATTTTATGTATACTAGTTATACTTCTGTAACCCTGATGTAGCTTTTATCCATTTTGAGGCCACAGAAACCTGGGGAATCTGGTGATGGCTGTCATAAAAAAGAAAGAAAAAGTAAATTTTACATACAATTCTAAGAAAGTTCTCCACTCATCACCTCAGACTTAGGATCTCAGTTCTAATAGAAATGATTATCTCTCCAGGTTCGAGAAATGGCTGCTACCACCTTAAGTGGTCTGCTACAGTGTAACTTCCTTACCATGGACAGTGCCATGCAGATTCATTTTGAGCAACTTTGCAAAACAAAACTACCCAAGAAAAGAAAGCGAGACCCTGGATCTGTGGGAGATACCATTCCTTCTGCAGGTAATATTAACAAATTTCCATACCTTTGGCGAATTAAGAAGACTTGCTTAAACATTTGAAGTACTTGTTTGTGTTCAGGTCTTGGCTAGATGCTGGGAATAATTGTCCCTACTTTTTACAAATTGGCATGAAGAAGACAGGACCTGGAATGAAAAGGCTAAAATTGTATGTACAAAGGAACTTGTCCACTATTGCATACAGCAGCTTTTTAATAAGGCAGTTCTAACCTCCACCTAAAATAAGTACATAAAGACAGATCTCGAATTGGTTATTTTGGAGGATTTAAGCTATCTTGTGTTCAGAATTTAGGATTTATGTGTTAGTGTACTAAAAGAAAAAAACATTTGCTGCTGTGCTTGGGACTTGAGTTTGATCTCTGGTATCCATGATGGAAAGGAAGACTTTTTCCCACAAGTTTCCTGTGACCTTACTTGCATAACATGCCACTCAGGTGTGTGCTTGTGTACGTGGGAGTACACAAACAAAATAAATACTTACTTTAATGAAAAATGGGAATTGGCCAGGAAGATTGCATGGTTAGTAAAACGCTTGCCCTACAAGCCTGGGGCCCTGAGTTTGATTCCTAGCACCTACATAAAAAGCCAGATGTGCTGTCCCATAGCAGCACTGGGCAGTAGAGACAAGCAGATCCCCAGGTCTCAGTAAGGACCTTGACTCAAAAAACTGTACATAATTATAGAGATGGCTTGGTGGTTACACATGTTTTCTGTTAGAGACCCAAGTTCTGTTTCTAACATCTACATCTAGAGCCTCACACCCGCCTATAACTCTAGCTCCATAGAATTCAATACCCCTTTTCAGCTTCTGTGGGAACTCACATGCATATGCACATACATACACACATACACAGAAATAGAAATATTAAAAATACTTATATTCAAAAGAAATGGTGAAAGGCTCCTGAAGAACAAGACCTGAGATTGACTTCTGCTGTCTACATTTATGTGCATAACAGGAATACATGCATACAGAAAAGAAAAAGTTTTAAGGAACCAGAGGCACCTTTGCTTCTGTCTAGAGAGGGAAAGTTGGATAGTCATGTGTGGCTCTATGAGGGAAATCACTTCAAAGAAATACAATACTGAATAAATTACTTTTTAGTACTATGTACTGTGAATACAGTAAAACAGCTATGATACCTCTAGGGACCACCAGTGTATGTGTGATCGATTGTGCGAAATGTTAATGCAGTATAGACTGTAATTACTAGTCAGTTGATGAAAGGATGAGAAGAGTCATAGGAGCTTCTGAGGTAATTGAGATGCCGTAAAGTCTGACCATCATGTTATGTTTGAAGAAAAATTACTACATGGAGACATCTGACTATAAGTCCAAAGAAATAGAAACAATGTAGAAAAATTAGTAAATATAAAGTTCATCAAATTTGTGCAAAGTGCCTAGGATATGAAGTTCTTATACATTAGAGCCATAGTTATGTCATAATTATTGAATACCCAGTATTAAGTATTTATGTATTAAGTATTAATGCCAAACTCCAATAGAGTATCAACATTCTAATTTTCTTTGAGAATAAAATGTTTAAGTCTTTATTATGCCAAATGGCATTGTTTATCATTTTTAGTACTCCAAAATCTCATTTTCTTACCTTTTCCTTCTGTTCATAGACACACCTAGAATAGATTTACATAAGAATATACATTACAGCTTTATTGAGAAACTCTGAGGAGAACTAGAAATGTGGCTTAGTGTAATAAGCTCTTGGCGAATATGCATCATGTCCTGAGTTCAATACCAGATACTACCAAAAAGATGGAAACAGATTTAGGTGTGTCAGTCATAGTGTGGTGGGGAGCTTAGCTCATGTGAGGCCCCGTGTTTGATCAATCCCAGCATCACTGGAAGGGGAGAGGGAAAGCGAAAAAGGAAGCAGGGAATGTGCGTATTTGAAAACACTTGGACTTACACCATTGAGGAAGGAACAGACAGACCCCTTGAGGTAGACATGTGTTGCAGTTCTGCTTGAAGAAGTGCATTTGTCATGCATGGTGGTGCATCTTGTGTGGGGACAGTCACATAGAGAAAATATTACCTAATCTGGGAGATTGGATCAGAAATTGTACTTAGAATATGAATGAGCTGTTCAAGAAAATTGTTGCTATGTTGGTTTTTAACAATAAGATCCATTCCTGGCTAGAAACAATTATACTGTCACTGAGGGACAACTATAGAATGTCTCTAAAATTCTTGCAGGTTCTAGTTCAGCCCAGATATCATGCTTTTTTTTTTTTTTTGTATGTACTTGTAAATTTATATTTAAATGGGGGAAATGTGTGCACACTGAAAGCACATCTAGTATGAATGACAGTTTATTTCAATGTAAAGGATGTATATGTTGTTGTTTTCATTACAGAGTTGGTCAGACGTCATGCTGGTGTTCTTGGACTTGGTGCATGTGTTCTTTCTAGCCCTTATGATGTTCCCACCTGGATGCCCCAGCTCCTTATGAATCTCAGTGCACATTTGAATGATCCCCAGCCTATTGAGGTATGTTCTGTATGGCCCAGAGAATGATCTATAATAGCTATATTTTCAGTTTCATATGAGTGAGTTTAAATACACAGCAAGCCACAGTAAAAGAATAAATAGCAAGTAGCAGGCAGATATCAGACAAACAGATAGACAACAAAGTACCATCAAATTTGGAGACTAAGTATATCTAGCAGAAATCAACTGGTAAAGCACCTTTAAGGCAGCCAGCTGGAGTTCCTAATAAAGAAAGTCTCAGGCAGAGCATAGTATATCCTCTGGTTAGACTTCCAAGTAAAAGAACAAATAGCAGATAGAGATAACATAGTCAAATCAAATGCTTACAACGGCAGAACATTACTGTGGAAGTTTACAGTTGAGCTGAACTTGCCAATTTTCCCACTGCAAGTGCTTTTACATTATGGGATAAACAGAGGCAGCCTCTGCTGGAAGTGGTTTGCCTTCTGGCTGTCCTCTCTGCCACAGAGTTAAAGAGGCTAAATCATTCCCAGACAAGGGGCCTTAGAGAACACAATATACACATGCTTGGGGCCAACTCTATTTCCAGATCCAGCTTCTTAGTGAACTCAAACAGCACATAACAATTTGCCAAAATAATGTACATCCCAAAGTATAATTCTTACTTGTCAGTTTATTTGTATCACTTGATAAATACTTTCCTGCACACTTTGAACTTACTGCTTTATAAAGCTAGTGCCTCAGCTGGGAGGTGGTAGTGCCTGCCTTTAATCCAGCACTCAGGAGACAGAAGCAGGTGGATCTCTGAGTTTGAGGCCAGCCTGGTCTGTAGAGTTCCAGGACAGCCAGGACTACACAGAGAAACCCTATCTTGAAAAAAATCTAAAATAAACTACTGTCTCTGATAGGGTCACGTTTACTCTGTAATTATTAAAGCCTTGCAGAGACATTTCTCCTGTGTATAACAAAATAAAATTAAATTCTGTAGCTTCTCTCCTTTCTAGATACAAAGCACTAGCTACAAAGTTAGGTTTCTTGTCACTGTTATTCTGGCATTTTGTATCTGGCAAGTCTCTCATCTCACTGAGGGCTAATGTTAAACTAGAAGTAGTGATTATATTATCTAGTAGTGAGCACCCATGCTCCTAAGCTAAACAGGTCCCCTTTGTAAATCCAGTATGTATTGAAACTGATCTAGCAATGTGGCAGTACATTCCAGTACTTTGTCCTGAAGTGAAGCTTATTAATTTTACAGAACATTAGTAGTTTGGAGACAGAAAATTGACTTGGTTTTCTAACATTGTAGCATTTGCAGTGTGTGAGTTGAGGTCTAGGTGGATTCTAATGTAGCTGAAGATAACCAATATTTAACTCTGGTTAAAATATACATGGGTTGATTACAGATGACTGTAAAGAAGACTCTATCCAATTTCCGAAGGACACACCATGACAACTGGCAAGAACACAAGCAGCAGTTCACTGACGATCAGCTGCTTGTCCTCACTGACCTCCTTGTGTCACCGTGCTATTATGCATAGAGGGTGAGTTACATGTGACATCCCCAGCACTGTCATTCCACTGGTGACTGAGAAAAGAATATCTACAAGTTTTTAAACTTTGCTGACATTATAGATGTAACAGCTTAGGTAAAATGGAGAGAGTTGTTTGTTTTGACTTTAAGACAGGGATAACTGTGTAGACCAGGTCAGCTTTGCATCTGGAATGATTCCCCTACCTTAGCCTCATGAGTACTAGGTTTGCAGCTGTGTGCCCGCACACCTGACTGTGAGCATGGCTTTTGAGGTGGTGGGTATATAGTTCAGAGGTGGAGCCCAGATT